GTTATAAGAAACGGGAAACGTAAGATAATGAGCTAAAAAAATATATAAAATTACGATTTGCTGATGGAAACTGTGGCATTTTTTCACTATTCAAAATCGTAAATTTAAATTCATTTCTTTTAAAAAAAGAATTGAAGAGTTACCAGAAAGAACAGGAGGAAAATTAACCGATGGAGGAAGATTATTAGGAACATCAAAAAGAGAATCATAGATGTAAAACAAATCCAGCTAGTGCAAAAGTGTTAAAAACCAGAGGATTTCGAAAACAAATCAGAGAAGGATGCGACAGAGAAAAATGATTGAGGCTGTCGGATCTATAAAGACAACACGTGGAGTAAACGTAACAAATGACTCGGAAAAAGTTATACAGAAGTCGAAACTTACAATTAAAAGGTCAGAAAAATATACACAATTACCATTCGCACAGATAAGAACTGAGCCACTTTTTTGCTAATGAACAATCGGAAATTTAAAGTGATTTATATTGAAAAATAATAGAAGAGTAACAAGAGAGAACATTAAAAGAATTAACAAATAGAGGAAGATTAATGGGAACATCTAAAAGAGAATCAAAGATGTAAAGCAAATTCGGCTAGTGAAAAAGTGTTAGAAGACAGAGGATTAGATTAAAAAAACATAACAGAAAATGCCGACAGAAAAATTATTGAAACTTTCAGATCTATAAAGGCAACACAGGGAGGAAATTCAACAAATGACTGAAAAGGTTATATGAAGCGGGAAACGTAAGATTAATGAGCCAGAAAAATATATAAAATTACGATTCGCGGGTGGAAACTGAGCTATTTTTTTACTAATGAAAAATAGGAAATTTAAATTGATTTCTTTTCAAAAAATAATTGAAGAGTTACCAAAAAGAACCGGAAAAAGAAAAAAATTAACGGATAGGGGAAGATTAATAAGAACATCAAAAGAGAATCAAAGATGGAAAGCAAATTCGGCCAGTGCGAAAATGTTAAAACCCAAAGGATTTGGAAGCAAAAACACAGAAAAAACGGACGGAAAAGTGCATTGATCGAGTATTTCGAAAAAAAACAAGAGAAAGAGCCGATAGAGGAAAATTATTGAGGCTGCTGGATTTATAAAGGCAACACAGGGAGAAATCCAACAAATAACTCTGAAAAGGTTATATGGAACGGGAAACGTAAGATTAATGAGCCAGAAAAACATATAAAATTACGATTCGCTGATAGAAACTGATGCAATTTTTTTACTAATGAAAAATCGGAAAATTAAACTGATTTCTTTTCAAAAAATACTTTAAGAGTTACCGGGAACAAAATGAAAAATAACAGATAGCGGAAGATTAATAGGAACATCAAAAAAGGAATCAAAGATGTAAAGCAAATTCAGCTAGTGCAAAAGTGTTAAAACCCAAAGGATTTGGAAGCAAAAACACAGAAAAAACGGACGGAAAAGTGCATTGATCCTGTTAGATCGATAAATGCAAGACATGTAGGAAATCCAACAAATGAAAAAGTCATATTAAATACGAATCTTAAGATCAATGAACCAGAAAAATATATACAATTACTATTCGCAGACGGAAACTAGGGCACGTTTTTACTAATGAAAAATCGCGAATTTAAGCTGTATAATATTGGAAAAAAATAGAATAGAATAGATAGAGTAAGTTTAATAGGAACATCAAAAAGAGAATAAAGGATCCAAAATAAATCCGGCTAGTGCAAAAGTATTAGAAGACCTGACATAAAGAGTCGACAGAGCAAAATTATTGATGCTTTTAGATCTATAAAGAGAACACATAGAGAAAATCTAATAAATGACTCGGAAAAGCTATATGGAAGACGACTTAAAATTAAAAGGAACCATTAGAACTAAACCACTTTTTTTCTAATGAAAAATCTGGGTTTTATATGGAAGAAATACCAATATCTATTAAATACACATCGTAAATCATTGTTCAAAACTAAACCAAAAATAAAACAAACAAAATATGTCAACATTTCACGTCCAATTAGATAATCTGTAGGCAAATTGGGTAATAGATTTGCTAAGAAACTCCGTAAATAGTCATAAAACTGAATCTCACCAGCTGATAAGCGGAATTTTGCTGAATGGACATGGAAATGGCTCAATATACTTCCTGAAATCGATGGTATCAAATCCAATTAATCATGTTGTTTAATGATTCATCAGCACAAACTGAAAAATCATATTTTGGGTGAGAAAGTATCGGCTATTTGTGGAAATAGGTGGTCCCGTGTAGATTACTCAGTGAGTTGTGAGCTTCTGTGTAAAACAGGTATTCGTCAATTAGTTTGTATACAGTTTTACATTCGATGAGAAAAACATGCTTTGAGATCCATGGGATTTTAACGAAAAAAATCAAGCTTTCAAAGACAAATTGCTTACAATCAATTTAAATCGTTGTAGCAGATATTCAAGATGACTACCACCTACTTCTTCGCTCAATGAGGTGTTCCACATAGGAAACTTACCCGGTATAATGGGATTATCAGCTGCTTAGTCTGATGATTAATTATCCGAAATTATTACGACTAATGCCGAAGTGTAGAAGTCATTAGTAGCTGTCAGGATTTTAAGTCCATAGCGATGGACTTGCTTTAATATTCTAAGTGGCTTGAAAGCTTTAAACACCCAGTTAAACGCTCGCTGTGGGAATAATTTTCATTTCGTTAAACTAGAGTTTGTTGTAGGTACTTAAATATTTATCTTAATCTAGTTTAAATTATGTTTTGCTATTTGTTACCGATTCTTATCTACTGTTCCGAAATTTTCAATTTTTCGATATCCAAAGTCTTACTTGATTTTAATAACACTGATATAAATAATCATAATTTAGCGATTTTATAGATTTTTATCTCTGCATCAAGGCGAACATGGTTCTTTTTCTTTCGTATCTGTTTAGAATTTGCGTATATATTTTTATTACGATTATTAGGGAAAAGAAGTGAGCGATAATTGAAGTTTCATGTGCAAATCGCGTAGTCTAACATTCCCGTTTTCGTACCCCAACAAATACTTTACTAGAACACCTACAAACGCAACTGAACTAACGACTAAGACCTGTTTGTTTTGTGGGCCGGGAATTTTTTTTCTTTTTTTTTTTATCACTGATTGAATTATACCAGTGTTAGGAATAGGACTTAATTTTAGAATAAGCTAGGCTAAGACATATATGTACTACTCAAGGGCAGAAAGACCGATTGGGTCGATAGCCTTTTTCTATAGGAAATAAAGATTATTTATATATATATCGCGTAGTCTTTGGATCAATTTTGTGTATTTAACATGTGATCTGTTTGCCGTACCCAATAATCGTCTTGCTGTCAATTGGTCTTGCTGCTCTACAGTTTTTCCTCATGCACTAGAATCGCTTGTGTTTTGGTGTATTTTAGTGCTTCAGATTCGAATATTCCTCATCTGTTACAAATTGTTATATTTATTTCTCCAACGTTTTGGGAATGATTTTGTTTTTCATTCGAAAATCAGTCAGTCTGCTCTAAGTTCTGGTAGTTTCTTGTTTGGTTTTAAGTTGTGGAACTTAGTTGAAGAATCTTTTTGGAGACGATAAAGTCAGAAGAATTGAAGCAAGTATGTACATCGTAATAACTTAAAAAGTACCAAAGTATAAAACACAATCAAGAACAATTCTAAAACCACCTTAAATTAGCTGCGGATAAATTTCAAATATTCCGCAATTTGTCTATTTGGGTTCAACAAAAAGAATGTTATCCACTCAATTAATTATGTTGGTTTTTAATTAGATTCGAATGAATGCCTCTGTTTAAATAGACGCTAATGCGTAAATCCATGGGATTCAAATCTGGAGAGCGGGACGGCCGTGCTGGTGCCCTTTTCAATGAAGACTTTTTTCAACTTTTCCTAAATGAAAAACCTTGCGAAATGGACAACTGGCAAAACAGACCATATTTGAAATTTTATACATTTGAACACGGGACTGTTTCGGATGCTTTCACTCACTATTGAATGACTTATTTTGGTAGCGTTGACAAGACAAACTTTCCAGCGTTTGTCGACTTTAAAGTCCGAATTTTGAGTTAGAAAGTGATGCTAAACCTTCCGGGTGAGGCAATTTTTGAACTCAAGTGGTGATAATTAACAGATTTTGGTCACGCCCAAAATAGTGTCGTGTTCAAAGGCCTGGGCGCCACTTCAATAGTAACATTTTATGATCTTGGGGTGGAAAAACAAAAACTCGATTTCCTGGAATTGTGGAAAATCCTAGAGAAATTAGAATTCTAGAATTAGAGAAAAACTTGATTACAACGAGCTGAAAAGTCCAGCACTGTGTTCGAAGGGTTCGGCACAACTTCGGCAGAAACATAGGTTTAAGAATGAAGATTTAACTCATGGTGCTTAGTTTGGACTGTGGAGTCAACTTGGACAAAATTTCACGATTTGTATATGGAAGAATGTATATTTTATGGAGAATTCAATGCAGAATTTCGTCGAAAATGACACGAAATCGTTGGTGGGATTTAGTCGTTTTTCAAGCAGTGTCATTCCCGCAAAGGTTCTCGCCAGGACCAGTTCATGTTATTGGCAAGGAAAATCTGCATTCTATGGGCAGTTTCAGGCAAAAATTGAGAATGCTGTACTGAAAACCCCCGTGGTGTCCTCAGCGGATTGGGCGCCACTTAACAAGAATAATTTTCAGTTTTGCATAAAAACATCAATGTTTTGAAACCTGTTTAATGTTATGCTGCAACAAGCTCTTCAGCCCCAACGCAAACTAAAGAGAACAACATGAAAGCTCCTTAAAAAGGGTGTCTGGTTGCATTCCAAGCAACAACCGTTCCGAAGTTGAGAACTATTTTTTAAATCAAACTTTGGAGGCTTTCACTCAGCTCCTGCATGAACATTTTCATTTTTCCATTAGAATGAAGATGCGTCATTTTTGCTTTGTGTAGGTAGTGACTATTGCAAAAAAATGATTCTCTTCTATGTTAGGTAATAAAACGCATTTTTTCCAGATATCACACAAGACGCACTTCTGCCCAGAATGTTAAATGAAAATTTCCAATCAATGTGGCCATATAGTGGCCTGGAACAGTAAGAAGTGGATAAGACTTCAGGAGCGGGGGCCGGTGCTCCCCCCCACGAAAATCACCACCGCCTGCACTGGCTACTATGCTAATTGCACATTGTTTCCAAGCCCTTGTCGCGGTAAGCAAATCCATCATTTTTCTAATCTAACAACAACTTTTTCACCCATTTTCCAGTTTGATTTCTTGTCTTAGTTAGAATTATATTTCCTTGCTCAAAGCCCAAACATCGTCTTTGGGTTGAGCAACTATTGAATTTTTGGATCGAAGAACAAACTATTCGAATCGTCTAACTCTTTCACTCTAAATGGTTTCTTTAACTCCAAACTCTTTGTTTGTTTTTTTTAACTTAAGATTAATTTTCTTGTTTGGGATTCAGGAAAATATTTTCATGGAATTCTGAGCGTGGTTTTTTCCAGATAGGAATGCTAATAAAGTAATAACTTGATTCTGAAAGTAAATATTTATTTTTCGCATTCCAGTATTGGACTCAATCATAACTGAGCCCAGTGCGTTATGCACGGTATTTTCGAAATCAAATGTGGAAAATTATTACAGCGATTTCGTTCGGATGGAATTCGATTCTGGCACGTGGTGTTTGAACCAAATAAAATCGCAGACGCTGCTCGAGTAATTAAACTGTAATATCTCAATGATTGAAATATGTATGTCTACAATCAAAAACAAGGTTTAATGTAAACGGACTTTTGCATCATCCACGAATAAAATAATGCATTCACAACATCCAAAGTAAATTATTTGGCGCAAGTGTTTCATTAACATAATTTTTTACGCATTATTTCCACTTGATGCGGATTGCGTTTCGTGAAATGCGGCAACTCCAAAACGAACTACAGAAGAAATTGCTGTCACGCATTTGTAAAATGAAGATGTTAACAGACTATCGTGCTTCTGCATCTGTACGGGCCCGTAACTCTAAACCCCGACTGCTTCACAATGAAGATCCGATTGGAAGATACCGGAATTCTGCAAATCTAGCGGCTCGTTTGTAAGCTTTATTAATGATTTTGATTGTGTCTCTGATACTGTTATAACTTAATTATTACGTGTACCATTTTTCGTTCGCTAAACCCCACAAGATTTATGGCTCGGTTTTTGCAGTTATCAAAATTCTTTATTCTTCTTTTTCGATTATTTTCAGTTGCTCGGCTTGGCCGCTGTATTTCAACAGGTGAAATCTCAAGAGCATTACAACGATACGTTAATAGATCATAGGATGAAGAGGAGCCCACGTGGAAACAAGCATCGACACGCCATCCATTCAGAGTGAGTACTTAGTTTAATTAAAATTTCAATTATCTTCAATAATTAACAATTTAAAATTGAAATTATCTTCAATTTTAAATTGTTCTTGAACAGTAAAAAATGAGCACGATGAATTCGAGTCGTTTATAACAAAATGTTTTCTTCTAAACCATTGATTTATACAGTGTTGTGTTTAAGTAGGAATAATTTCTAAAAAACATTGAGCAAACGTTTCACAAAAATTCGCTTCTTTTCCTTGTTGAGCAATTTTTCATGTCAAATGAAAGTATACAAGGTGGTTCAACGAAAATATACAGCACCCAAGTAAGATTTAAATACAACACCCTGTATATTTTTGCATATTCTGGTTGCATGAGTATATCTAAATGTATTTTATATTTAGTTATTTTTCCTTACCTACCAGTTTTCAAAATATTTACTCTTAAAAGGCAAACTAAGTACTAGTAAGTCGTGCAAGTGTTTTTCTAGGAACTTTTTTTTCTATATTTTAGCGAATTTATCTCTTATTTAATCACTCCCCCCCTGATCAAAAACTGCAAATTTTGTTAAAATGATTCGCTTCAATACAAGCAAGTCAAGCAAATACCAAATATGTTTTTAACAATATCCTGACAGGAAAATGTATGCTTTTGAGATTTGAGCTGTGCAACCTTCAGCAATCGCGTTTATGTCCATATTTTGGCTTCAAACTTTTGAAAGGTTAGGAATTCCTAATGAAACTTAATTTGCAAGAGACAGCTTGTGAGGCGCTCTTTCAAAATGGTACCATTCATTTTTTTACGTGTTTTCAACAGTTTTTGAGATTGGAGCTGTGCAACCTTTGGCAATGGCATTAGTTTTCAGGTTTTGGCTTCAAATTTTTTAAAGGTTCGGCATTCCTGATGAAACTCAATTAGTAAAAGACAGTTTGTGAGACGCTTTTTCAAAAAGGCTCCACTAATTTTTAACGTATTTTCAACAGTTAGAGATTTGAGCTGTTCAACCTTCGGCAATCGTGTTCGTTTCCATATTTTGGCTTTAAACTTTTTAAAGGTTAGGAATGCCTGACGTAACTCAATTAGTAAAAGACAGCTTGTGAGGCGCTCTTTCAAAATGGCCCCATTAATTTTTAACGTACATATTTTCAACAGTTTTCGAAATTTAAGCTGCGCAATCTTCAGCAATCGCGTTAGTTTTCGTGTTTTGGCTTCAAACTTTTTAAAGGTTACGCATTCCTGATGAAACTCGATTATTAAAAGACAGCTTGTAAGGCGCTCTTTCAAAAAGGCCCCATCAATTTTTAAATTATTTTCAACAGTTTTCGAGATTTGAGGTGTTCACCCTTCGGCATTCGCGTTCGTTTTTTTTCTTTGGCTTCCAACTTTTTAAGGGTTAGAAATTCCTGACGAAACTTAATTAGCAAAAGACAGCTTGTGAGGCGCTCTTTCAAAATCGTCCCATTAATTTTTTACGTATTTTTAACAGTTTTTGAGATTGGAGCTGTGCACCCTTCGGCAATCGCATTAGTTTTCATGTTTTGGCTTCAAACTTTTTAAAGGTTAGTCATTCCTGATGAAAGTCAATTAGTAAAAGACAACTTCTGAGACGCTCTTTCAAAAAAGCCCCATTAATTTTTAGCAAATTTTCGCGTTTGTTTTCATATTTTTGATAGTAACTTTTTAAACGCTAGGAATTCCTGATAAAACTCAATCAGTAAAAGACAGTTTGCGAGGCGCTCTTTCAAGAAGGCTCCATTAATTTTTAACGTATTTTCACCAGTTTTCAAGATTTGAGCTGTTCAACCTGCGACAGTCGCGTTGATTTTCACATTTTCGCTTGTAACTTTTTAAAGGATGGGAATTCCTGATGAAACTCAATTAGTAAAAGACAGTTTGTGAGGCGCTCTTTCAAAAAGGTTCCATTAATGTTTAACGTATTTTCAACAGTTTTAGAGATTTGAGTTTTTTTT